ATATAGTGTTGGAATAACTTCATCAGTAATTTTATTCTTTTAGTGCATGTTTGTTGGCCTAGATGAGATTGAATTCGACCTCTTATCTTCCCTAATCATGTCTTTGCTAACCAAAAATACACGGGCACGACATGGCCCGCGATTCACAATAACTTAATCATGCATATTCACGATAAAATAGTTCGGACTGAGGTGGTGAGATAGTGTTGTTTTTGAATAGTGTACTAAATGTAAAAGACATTATTATCCCTAAACAACCTTCTTTCTACTTCGTTTTGGGTTTTCTGTCAGAGATGACTCGGTGTCGCTCCAAAAGACTGCATTTCTCTTCTCTTAATTTTTTAGCCCTCCAAAATGCAGTATTGTCCATGACATTCTCCACCGAAATATTGAGATCTGTGAGGATCTCGTTATGTACAAATCATGAATTCAATAGCAAACGTAAACCTATGCGCAACGGATCTAAAGTTTCGACGTAGAAAACTTACAGCTTAAAATTTTTTGAATCTGACGAATTCGAGATGACTGGAGACAACACGTCTGAGGTCGCCGGGATCAGTGGGTGGCGAGGATCGGTCGACTGGGCTCGCGGTCGGGCTACAGTGTAGGTGGAGGCTGGACGTGCGTCGCGGGGAAGCATCTCGGGCTGGGCTTGGCGGTCGCGATCGGCGTCGGGCTTGGCATCCCGTCACAGCGGCGATCGTCGGTTGTCCGTGGGCTAGCGGCGGCGGTCCGACTGGGCTCACGGTGGTTGGCGGTAGTCTACGGGGTTGAAGAATATATGTGATCACGGGGTCTTGAATACCACAAGATCTTCTATTGTATTACTCGAACACCTCTTCTACTTGTATCAGTGGAATAACAAAAAGAAGATAAAGCTTGAACAGAAATCTAGAGAGAGAGAGAGAGAGAGAGAGAGAGAGAGAGAGAGAGAGGTGTGCGTGTATATTAAATACAAGTTAGGGATTTTCAGATCTCTTTTTCTCCTATTCCACGAGCTTAATGATGTATATATAATGCTACAGTAGAGATCCTTAGGAGAATAGAACTAGGGATTCTTAAGTATTGGACTAACTGTGGGCCAAGTCCACCCTTTTAATTACTTAAATAATATTATGGTCCACTAACATAACAATATTTCACTCTCTTTTCGTCTCCCAAATTACAATTGAGAATCAAATTATAATTACCCGAATTACCTCCCCATGTTTAAGATATAATGTCTCTTAATTAATTTGATTGTTGATAATAAATAATTAATTAATATATTTATATTACCAAAAGCTAGCGCTCGTTCATTGCATTATTATTATGCCGGAACTTAATCCACCTGCATGGTTTAGCATAACAATCCATCATGAACTCACTTCGGGGACATCATCAAACTAACGCACACGGTGACTGCAAATATCCTAACAACACATCATACTTGCGACAATATTAGCCAAGACAGTAAGACTGTTGTCCAACAAACTGAGTCTCATATTAATCAAAGTAATAAATATTGTATGCACATTTTTGTTTAATGTATTACGGGTTATGAGAACGCAGTAATTAACCGAGACTTAAGTTTGTTTATGACAATCAATATAAAACAAATTGTTTCTCTCTGGGATCCTGTTCAATATATAAATGTACTAGTGCAACTAATCAGTAAAGACCAATTGTACCGTTGACACTACAACCGTTCTGATGGGGTGTTCATTTCCATTTAGGTTGTGAACCATAAATTCTTGTTTCGCAAGTAACTAACAGAATGATCTTCTGTTCACCCGATGATGACCCATTATATCTAAGTGCAAAACAACATAACATAGAGCTCGTTTAATCGAACATGATTCTCATTCATAAAGGACAAACGTATAATATCATCTAAAGCCAAGCTTTTAGTATATAACACCAACACGGAAAAAAAACCCACCAACTGTTTGAGAAAATGCCTCAGACAAATCCTTTACCATCTCATATCCCATCAACGAATGCGGGATGTCCCCGATTATCGCTGCCACAGCCTCCACAAAAACTTGCTTAAGCTCGTTGGAAAAATCGGACGCAAACTTAAACCTCCTCCGGCAGTACAAGTTCACGCAAGCCCACATTTTCAACCTCGTCACAGGTTGGCTCAAAGCGACGCCCTGCCTAAAAATGAACCTCAGCCCAAAATTCGAATTCTTCCAATCGATCAGTGTGCCTCTACCCATCCTGAGCAGGAATCTCTCCAGGGAGCCCTCCGTCATGTAAAGATTATCACACAACATGAAAGAATCCAAAAGCTGCTAAAGTTAATTCATCCTTTCCCATTTTGTTCTTTTACGCACCTGCTTGGTAGTTGGTACACACACCATGCATTGTTGAATTCAACAGTTTTGTATACTGATTGATTGAAAAACGTTAATAGCCACGGGAAGGCAAGCTCGCGGGTGATCATCCACAGATACATTTTTCAATTTTAGAATGACGACCTACTTGAATGCGATGTCAAAAAGAGAAAAATAGGTGGGAATGAGAGAAAACATAAAAATGAAATATAGAACCAGTATTTTATTTAAATTAAATATTTATAAATAAAAAAAAAACAAGACAAAGTTGTTAGCTATAGGGATAAGCGAGCCATGCAAAAAACATGCAGTTCTAATAAAACGAGGCCAACACGGAGGAGGGAAATAAATAATGTAATTTAACATAGGGATAAATATGTAAATGTCCATCTTATCTTATTTATTGTCAAGGCAAACAATCACATAAATTTTTTTTGATAATAATCTTATCTTGAGTAAATCAAACATAAACAAATATAAGTATACACATGCCTGTACACCCCAATCTTGGACCCCTAGAAAAAAGTTATCTAATCCGGTCTACCCTAACAAATGAGCTCTTAGAGTTCATATATTTCTAGATAAAAATGATGTCTTCTTGGACTAAACAAGAAGGCCACCATTATCATGTTAAGTTAAAACTATATTCTTAACCCGCGCACACCTATTGGCAAAGTTATTTGATTATATTAACTAGTGAGCTAGTGAGTGCAAAATGTGTAAAAAAAAATGTTTTAATAATTAATAATGATATTATACGAAATGTTTTAATAAATAATATTTGAATATTATGATGAACCAAAATATGTAAAACTATTACTTTTTTTAATTATAAAAATAAAAATATATGTTCAAAAATATAACTTATATTAATATAAACATGTTAGCGGCTAATATATTATTAAAATAAAATTTTGGAAAAATATTCTACGGTATTAAACCCTCGTGCATCGCATGAGATTCATACTAGTTATTAATATAAATAAGCTTTATCAATCATCACATTAACTTTATTAACTTTTCATCTACTCACATCATTTTAACTATTCATTCTTACTAGTTATTAATATTACTAAACTATATCAATCATCACATTAAGTTTAATTCACTTTTCATCTACTCACTTCATTTTAACTACTCGCCAATTTCAGTCACATTTCTCATCTTTCACTATCAAATCAATTTAATCGTTATATTTTAAATATTATTTTATTACAATCTTAAAATTTCACTCAAAAGTAATTTTTTTTTAAAATAAATTAATTAATTGTATCAAATAAACCCAATGAAGAGTCCCCAACAACTTTATTGACCTCTTTCCCTTATTGGTCAAATAGCCAAAAAAATATTGTAAAGATTTTATCTCTATTATTTTACTTTACCTCAAAGCTAAAAGAAAAAAAAAAAGGCAAATAAATTCCTATTTTAAAAAGAACTAACAAATGAATTGAATTAATTATAGGAACAGAAACAGAGGTGGGTGAGGTGTTTAAATGTGGACATGTATTATTCCAGCTCTGTTTACATAACAGCACTGTGTAAATGAAAATTTATAAATAGACAAAAACAAAACTCAATTCCAAGTATAAAATATTATTGCAGGTGAGAAAATAAAAAAGAAAAAAATAAAAGAAAAGAAAGAGTATATGAGAAGCTCCTGACTTCTTCTCTGATTTTGATGCGAGAGAGAAAGAGAGAGAGAGAGAGAGAGAATGAGGGTTTAGTGAAAGGTTCACACACACACACACACACACACACACACACACACACACACACACACACACACAAGATAAAGACAGGAGAGGGGTCTCCATTTCTTTTTCACTGCATTTTGGGTTTTTCCTCTCTCTCACTCAAAACCCCATTTTTTCTCTCTCAAGTTTCAAGGAGGTGAACGAACCAAAGGTGGGATTTTTATCTTTCCTCTTTGCTTGTTCTGCACAACCAATCACAGAGAAAATCATACAATGGTAGATTTATTGAGTGTATTTTGATTTCATGTTAGCAATGATTGTTGTTGTTGTTGTTGTTCTTCCCCCTTCTTTAATTTTCTTGGACCAACTCGTATTTCATATTTAATTTAGTTTGTTTTGTTTTTCATCATCTGGGTTGTTTCGTCTTGGTTGATCTTGGACTGAATGATGCATTTCTCTGTGTGATTGTTCATAAATTAGAGGATATCATCTGGGCAGAGACAAGAACTAAAGAGGGTTTTTTTCATTTGATTTTTGTACAGGATCTTGATCGTGTGGTTCTGAGTTTGTGGGATTTGGGGATTCATAATAAGCATTTTCAGATATCTTTATCTTTGTTTTTTCCGCCAGCAGTTTTCTCCTCATTACTGTTTCTTGAGTATGTAATTGACTCTTCTCATTAATTTCTCTATCTCTGTTGATGTTTTTTTCTTGTGGGTTTTATATAGCTTTTAGGCCAGCATTCTTCTTTTGTTCTTGAAAGATTATTAATCTGGTTTCTTATCAATGTTGATTATTGATTCTTGTAATTTTGAAATGTTTTCTCATTAATAATTAAAATGTTTCTTGAGTATGCAATTGACTCTTCACTTGATCCACCATTTATGTAATTGGGAAAATGGACTAATGAAAGATTGGTTCTTTGGTTTTCTGTGAAGGTCTTCCTTGCTCTATTATAAAGCTAGGATTTTTTTGTAAAGAAGAAAAAATGCTGAGGAAAAGAAGCAGATCACACCACAAAGATCAACACATGAATCACTTGGTTGGTGACTGTATATCAGAGTCCTGTTTTCACTCTGATATTTCGAGTCAGAAGTACAAAATCCATAACTCCCTTTTGAAAATGCCGGGGCTTTTTGTGGGATTCAATCCGAGAAGTTCAGATACCGACTCAGTTCTGAGCCCGACCTCCCCTTTAGATTTTAGAGTCTTTTCAAGTTTCGGAAATCCCTTTAGGCACAACAGGATACAAAATGCGGGAGAAAATAAGAGGTGGAATTTTGAGAAAGTGGGTCTTAGCATTATCGAATCACTGAAAGATGAGAACAATGAGCCCGGGAAGGTCGGTCGATCATCCAACAACAAAAATATTCTTCTCGAACGAAACTTGAGTTCTCAGGAGGCTCTTAAGTTACTGCCTAAAGACACTGCATTTTTTCCTGAAAAACAGATAGGTGCTGAATTTGGTAGTTCTAGTGTTTTGTTTGAAACTGGGAAAAGCCCTTTCGGGCCCGACTCGGAGATTGAAGATTCTGATGAATGTGGGTCATATCTGACTGATTTTGGTAGCAACAAGTCAATGTTCGAATCGGGGAATTTGGTTGATGGAAATACAAAGGATATAATGCCTTCGGAGTCTCACGATGGCATTAAGCTGCGAGAATTTGGTTCTTTTAAGGTGAGTGAGATCGAGCTTTCTGAGGATTATACTTGCGTTAGGACACATGGCTCTAATCCAAAAGTGACCCACATTTTCGGTGACCGTGTATTGGAATGTCAGAATGGTGAGGTAACTGTGTTTAAGGAGAAATTTGGAGACGGTCATAAGATTCCAGAGGCATTTGGGTTGTCCGATTTTCATGCTTCATATCCGTCCAGTAGTTTCTTGAAGTTTTGCTACTTGTGCAACAAGCCGCTCGATGGAGAAGATATTTACATGTACAGGTCAATAGCTCCTTTAATATTCATTTCTTTGTTACTTTTTTGTTTTCATTAGCATTCTTTATTTCTTCTGTTTTTATTTTTTAGATTTAGTCTGAAACCAGAGGCAGTGTTTGTAATGTAATCACTTACTTCATGTATTTTTGCAGAGGTGAGAAAGCATTTTGCAGTCTTTCTTGCCGTTCGGAAGAGATTGAGTTGGACGAGAAGATGGAGAAAACGAGCGATGATACTTTCAAGACTGCTAATGCTGATGCATCACCAAATGGCTCTGAAATAATAACATCCAAGGCCGGGTTGTTCATTGCTACATAGGAATCAAGTTTATTAACATAACAGTATTATATAAAATAATAAAAGGAAACTAAAAATGAAAAAAAAAATAAAAAGAAAAAAAAAATGAAGAGAGGCTGTGATTGACGAAACGCGCAGCATTAGCGAGTGCTCAGATCTTTTGACGTTTCACCTGAGAGCTGTTTTAGTTTTCTGTATCTGTTCGGCGGCCTTTGGATGATCGTCTGAGTATTGCTGATTGCGTTTTCATCTCTACCATGGCTAGTGTGTTGTCTTGCTGATAATAGACTGTCTTGTGAACTTTTTTTTTTTTTTTGGGACATAACTCATGACATTTGATGATATAGGAAGGTAGGAACTTTTTTATATTCTGTGGTGATATGTTATAGAGAAGGATTCAAGCCCCTTTTAAGTGGCTCCTCTTGTTTCTATCACCATTTTTTTCATTGTCAATGCCTCAAAATTGAATTTTGAATCCATATGAATATATGTTTTTGAATAATTATGTAAATGTGTTGTTAATTTTTTTCCCTTTTGTAGGTTTTGATTGACCTGAATATATGTTATAACAACCATCCTCGACTTTTAATGGAATTATGATTAGGACTTTTTTTTTTTTCTTTTTATTTTCAACTATCCATATAAAACATAGAATTCTTTGTTTGATTTAGTTAAATTAATAGCGTGATTGGATATAAATAAAAAAACGGGTTTAATCGGGTTAGGTCGACATATTAATTTGCTTGATATCTTTTAATTCAAAATCTATCTCAAATTTAATTCAGCTCAAATCTTCTCAGAAGTATTATCAGTATAACTAGTATCCATTCATGTGCACATGTACAATGACAAATAAAAATTTATATATTTTACGTGTGCATACAATATTTAAAATTTCAAATTAAATAATATATCTATTACTTTTTTTAAATTTTTGGACTGTAGGTAAGTGTGCATTATAAATACAAATTTATTTAACTTATGTTTGACCTTATATTGTGACAGTAATTTTAATAGATAGTGTAATTTTGTAACTTAGAGGGACCATACAATTATTTAGTTACAAAAGTATTACAATTATTTTTATTATTGTTATAGAAGTTGTTTAAGTGATTTTAAGAGATTTAGACACCCATGCCAACTAACTAATATTTGAGAAAAATCGCTTAATAAGGCGAAAAAAATAATATTTATTGCAAAACAAGTATCTTAAAGAGAAAAAAAAAATTGCAATACAATTTTTTTTATAAGTATTTAACTTTCACATACTATTTAATGTAAATTTACAAATGTGTTTAAATTTAGTTATAGTTTATTAATGTAAAATGTAACGGTTCTACATTGATTGAATAAATGAGCAGGAAAATTATAGAAGTTTTATTAATTAAGTTTTGTTTATTGCTTTGTCAACAATTATGTATACTAGTATTTGACCCTGTGCATTTGCACATATATAAATAAAGTATTATAAGTTATTTGTATGCATATTGTAACGCAAAATTTCGTATTATTGAATTAATAAACATGAGAACTTCGTACAAATGATTTTAACGGATCAAATGAAATACAGTGGATTACAAATCTCTATTATTCCTCTGATTAATTTCTTCAAGAGCGATCTTCGAATAGACTTGAGACTTTTGGAGACTAATCTTCAGTTTGATCTCCGTCAGTCTTGAATATGAATTTAAATAACGTTTCTTCGAGGGCTTGATAGCTTGATCTCGAATCGAACGTCGTGATTTCCCAAGAACGTGAAGAACACGAATCCTTGGTCTTCGCCGCAAAGTTGATTTTGATCTTCTCTACGCCGGTCTTGACTTGAATAACGTAATTCGGAGGCTTGACAGCTTGTTTCCGGATTGATCGTCGGTTTTGGGCTTGAATGCGCTTGAATCTTCCTTCGGGTCTTCAAGAACGCCTTTGAATCTTCAAAACACTTGAACTTTAATAACGCAATTCGGAGGCTTGACAGCTTGTTTCCGGATTGAACGTAGGTTTTGGGCTTGAATGCGCTTGAATCTTCCTTCGGGTCTTCAAGAACGCCTTTGGATTTTCAAGAACACTTGAATTTCGTTGAGAGAATTTTGTAGAGCTCTTGGAACTTGAATCTTGAATATGAATTGTGATTTTTTCACCTTAGGGGGAGCCCCTATTTATAGGTGTTGGGAGAGAGAGTCTTGAAAAGAATACTTCAATTTGATTGGTCCATAATTTTCAATAATTATCTCTTAATAATTATTTAAAGAGATAATTAGGAGAGAGAGTCTTGGAAAAGAAGAATTCAATTTGATTGGTCCATGAATTTCCACTTATTTATCTCTTTAATAATTATTAAAAGAAATAAATATTTATTTTACTCTCCAAGAAAATGACATGTTGTATTCTTTAATTGACCTTCAAAAATATACACGTGGCATTCTTTAATTGGCCAACAATGTATATTAAATAATCAAATAATTAACTATTTAATTTA